GAGTCAGATCGGTCAACAGGAATCACGGACTTTCCTTGTTCGCTCTCTTGGTGTTGATGTGTACTGTGTCGCCGAAGCACGCATACAAGATAACACCATTATGACGAATGTTCGACTCCGTGGTTCTGAATCTGACGACAATGACTACACTCTTTGCGTCGCTGGTGATGCCGAGTCACTGGCTCAAGGTGTCGCTATAAGCAGACATGGTAAAGATAGTCCACTCGACTGGATAACGGTGAACAACCGCATGGGTGCGGTTCGACTTTGAAGCTCTACTGGAGTTAATAAACACTGTAAAAAGACAAGGTGCTTTTTCATCACCACCATTTATGCTCCTACTAACTGTGGTTCGGAGAGTACCAAAGATGGTTTCTACTACCATCTTACATCTCTTCTCCGTATGGCGAAGAGTACTGACATCGTGCTTGTTGCTGGTGATTTGAATGATCAAGCATGTCGTCTTTTCGATTCCTGACATCACTTGGGAGGGCTTCTCGGACTCCATGCACACCGAACAGACAATGGTGGTTAATTCCTGAAAATATGCACCGACCACATTCCTCATATTAGCAGAACTGCTTTCCAGCACAAACATCTACACCGAGTCACCCGGCGCTCAAGGAATTCTTCAATGATTTGGACCCAAAATGACCATATTATCATGAGCCACAGGCGGCGCACATCAGACTAAACCTGTTGGTTAAGTTAGAGCACATGCCCGGGTTCCGAGCATGCTGTAGTGCGCGCACGCTTGGCGCTCACTCTTAGCACTACAAAGAAGTGCTCATCTTTTAATCTTTTTACCTGTAACTTAAATCCCAGTCTGCAGGTCAGCAATATCATAACGAATTGGCCCACCAAAATGTCGGTAATGAATGAGGTTGGTGAGCCGAACACTGAGTGGGATCGTCTCTAGTGTGCATTTGACGCTTGCTGTGCACCCGACTTGAGACACCGTAAATGTGAAACACCGGTCAGATTGAGCGAAGCACGGAAACAGGTTCCGATGGGCACTGAAATGCAACGTGTCCGTAATTTCCTGAAACTGGTTATGACAATGAGTCTTCGAGATGATCTGGAAAGTTGGTAGGTTTCAAATGCCAGTAAGATAGTGAAAGCCAACCCTATTGAAAACATCTGAGTGCGATTTCAGTACATCCGGAACACGGGTCCGAAAAGGCCATCAGTTAGCGAGAAAATAGCTGAAAAAGATGAGCTGTTGACTCATTCTCAGCATCCTTGACTAGCTCATTGAGCGGAACACTTTTAGGAGCGGTTTGACAGGTCTGCTGTGACAGTTCTACCTGCCAAATCACCTGAATTGACGCGGGAAGTAGATATCACGCCTCCCACTTTGGAAGCGATTCGACATGAGCTATCCGTGTTGAAACGAAACAAGGTTCATGTATCCGACGGACTTCCCCATCTTGGCTGTTGCAATCGCGATTGATGCTGATCAACGTCCCGAGGAGACGGAGAAGTGAGGTCCTCATGAAGCTACCCTTGATATTCTAATTGCACGGCGAGGTCTTGCAGGTTACCAGAGTTAAGTCGAGTTTGTCTAGTCCTAGGTGAGCCACCGAAACCTACTAACGCAAGATCAGATTCCACGCACGTTTACCTATAGGATCTGCAGTTCCGAATACTGTCATGCCAGCGATAGCTTATGGCGATGCGGTCAATCTGTGACCAACATTGAGCGGATGTTAGAGCGTTTCAGGTAGCGTAGTGACGCCTAGGGTTCCAAAAGGCCGTGTTAAAGTGGTAACGTTGGTGGACGGCACACAAACTGAGTAGTCTTTCTCCAATGTCTGAGCGAACCTCGTCGTATCTATGCAGGCCTCCAAGATGGCGTTCACTTGATAATGAACGACCGACACGCGATTTGAAATCCTCAGCCATAATAATGATGTCCGTATTGGGTGCTATAAAGTGCAGATTATGTAGGTTCTGATAGTATTGGTCCTTAACGGTATCCGGGCTACAGGCGGAGATTAAAAAAGAGCAAGTTTGTCTTCCCGATAACTGTTAACCTTGCACGACACATGGAGCCTGATAGCACAAAGGCGACTGATGATCGGAATCCATTCGAGAAGGGCAGCATCGTCTCTGACACTAAGGGCGACCCCAACATCAGCTTTCCCAGGAGCGGTACCGTCGGCGTCTCCAAAAAGTCGAATGTGGAAATGGGTATAATGGTGAATTGGTGACGACAGTGGGCAAAATGTGCTGAAATTCTGTAGTCGTGCTTTGGAAAAAAACAGACGTCACTCGCAAGAATATATAGGGTGAGGGCGTGACCCGCTTGCTCCCAATCTGCTTTAGAGTGTGCAGATTGAACGCCGTCAAGTTGAACTGTCTCTTCGGTGGCAGAAGCAGGGAACGGAGCATCCGGGGCTGTTCAATGCCGGTTTGGCGTTGTGGAAACGTCAGAGGATGGTGTGGCAACAGTGATATCAAAGGAAGTAATGCTGTTCATCGTTGATTGCTCAGACGAAAAAGGGGATGATACATGGGAGAGTAGACAAGCGAGTGGCATGTGGCGGAAGCGTGTTTGCACTGGTAACATGAGAGCAAAGCATCAGTAGAGCGAAAAGTGCAGCTCAGTTCCATGGTTCATCAGTAGGCGAGATACTACCCGGATGTCTAGGCCGAAGTAGGAGGTTGTCTCAGGGGGCCGCCACCCCGAAACTTTCGCTCAATAGCCTACGTGCAAGGCAACGAGGCGAGTTCAAGGGATCGCACCTATTGGGAGTTAGGGACCGAGTACTCGGTTCTTGGCCTTTCGTTCGGTCAAGTGTAAAACAGGGGTCCAACCCTCCCCAACATGACAGCAACTGACAGACGGAATACAATACTCCACTGAGGTGAAGCAAGGGGCAGAGACTTTATTTAGTGGCGAGTCACATCCGTCACGTCGCGGTGTTGTTAACGGACATATGTGGCTTCTTATAGAGAGAATGCTTGCCAGACAAAAACCCACCACGTCCTGGAACACTGCCGCGGAACCTCTCACTGGAACGGGCAAATCCAGAACCACCCAACTGGCACCACTAGAAGGTTGTTTGGAAAGCCAGCGTAAGGTCAGTGTTACCTTATGGATGGGAGACGTGGCCAGTTGGCAGTGATTATATAAAACGCTTGGCCGTGTTTGACCACCGGTGCTTGCGGAGTATTGCTCACGTCTGGTGGGAACACCAGATGAGCAATGCTGAGGTTCGTCAGTTGGTTTTTGGCAAGAATTCTTCTGGTGTCTCACGCAAGTGCTTGCTGAAGTTTAATCACTTGCGATGGCTATGCCTTCTTCTCGGTATGCCCTTTGACCGGCTTCCTCGGCGTGCATCATACGCCGTGGCTGCAAGAAGGTTGGCGAAACCACGAGGTGACCAGTCCATGACATAGCATAGTAGCTTGAAGAAACTGACTGCGAGACTTGTTCAGGCTGCGGCGTGCCATCTTCCTGGATGGTGACCTCGAGACGGTCCGCACCAATGGTTGGAGATCGTGTCAGAAACGGCACAGTCATGCAGTCAGTGGCGTTCATGCATTCGCCTTCTTTCATCTGGTTGTTAATCTTCGTTCCATTCTGGTTAGCCTAACGCCGTTCCTTCTTGCTTTCATTTTCTCTGCGTTCTATTCGCACCGTTGTTATTTATTGTTATTATTACGGTATGAGTCGTCGCCATTGGATCGACCGCACTTGGGTGCTCGGATCATGGTCGAGCAACTAGACTGAACTGTGCTGTCGTACAATCAGTGAGCTCAACTACGGGGACCAAAACGGAGACGTGCGGCAGACTGTGGTTCATGGCCAAGGAGGCTTTGTACCCATAAGCATCGGATTGTGAGAACGCTTTCTGCATCTAGCCAATGGGAGTGAAGTAAGGATCCATGATCTGATTAACTATCGCCTTAATTTGAAATGCCCGATGAAAATAAGGGTTGAAGCGCTGTTTAGATGTTACAAAGTCGTCTAAGGTATTCTCCAAGGTGTCGGTGCTTCTGTGACAAGATCCATTTCATTATGTAATAGACGCTATCCCTGAGCATTAGAAGAAACGCTGGTTTTAGAGCAAGGGATAGAAGCAGGACCTCGAAGACTTTGAGTCGGTTGAGTTGAATGCATGGAGCTTGGATGGATCCAGCGGCAGAGTTCGTACTGATTCCGTCGCTTAGCAGAGCTCCACGTTTTAGCAATGCAATGGTGTCAAACAGTACATTCGACGGCAAAACAGGAGAGGGAGAGAATGTTTGTTGGAACCGTTATTCAAGTAGCAGGCTAATGTGTCAACCCAAATTAAACGGCCCGATGGCCACCTCGGAATCACACTCCGTCTTCTTCTTAGTACCACCCAAAGTCGCAACGTTTGTTGGCTCGGTAATGTCTAACGAGCACATTAGGTACTTCTATTCAGGGAAGAAAAGTCCTACTCAAAGCTGCTCCGAGCGGATGTTGTGTACGTTCAATATCACCATAAATACACATGCCCAAAGAAAGCTTCGTGCGTGTGACACTTGGACGCCTCTCAAGGTGTGATGGTCGAGGTGCCTACTTACGTAGAAGTACGAGCACACTTCTGTCATCCTTGCAACTATGGAAGTAAAGTAAAACAATGGTATCCAGCCGAAGACGGAATGGTTCTGGTCGTCGGGTGCATCGATTAGCGCTTGAGTTCAAAATCTCATTAGTGAGTAACTAACGATAGTTGCTGTGTCGGCAAACTGGGTAAAATAAACCTAGCCAAGTAGGACAGTCGGGAAGTGAATTAATAGCAAACAGAGTTGCACTGCTTGCATCTTTGCGAACTGTCCATCGCACATCCAGTCTTAAAAGCTGACACATCTGACTGGATGTGTTTAGTTTGCCTAATTCACGAGTTAAAATGTATCGAGCGTGTGGCGATAAAGATTGAGTTTGAAATGGAACAGACTGATGTATTTCTAGGAATTCGCACATACCTGGAGTGTTAAAATCGTCAAGTAACCGAACCACTTACCGTTACCTCCTCCGAAATCTCAGGACCAGTAAAGAACACGCGAGTTGGTAACCGGTCGACTGGGCCGCAATTCGATCGGAATTCTTCAAATTCTTCGAAAACCTGAAACATTTTCATCAGAACATCCAACTATAACGTAAACTGTGAACACAATATCTTGGTGTTGTTGAAGCTAAAAGAATAACAAAGTTTGAGAAACTATCAAATACTGCATAGTCTACAACTGTACGTGATGCATTAAAGATACTTATAGTCCGTACAGACAGGATGTATCGAGACGCAGTTGATAAGCCTCGTATGACCAATAGTAGTGAGTGGGACAGAGTCAAGCAACGACACTAATATTTATCGGCTTGGAGAGCAATATTTATCTGTATAAAGAACATTTTCGATGCACTGGAAAAGACCTCCGATAAGGAATAACTTCTCCATAGATACAGCTAGCGCATCTGAGCAACATAGAGCTGACAGAAATTGCAAAATGTCAACCCACGACTGTGAAACATCCTAAGATGTAAACTGGGTGTAGCCTGAGATGCATTTTCATCGAAGAGAGTAACGAAGGATCAAATGAAAGACAAGCTGAAAAGCCGATTGTATCGATAGACCAAGGTTATCTTTCTTGCCACTTGGAACTAACGACAATGATGCCAAATATGTTGCTTAGACGTTAGCTTTAAAATTAGCTGAGTGAATGGATTGTGACGCGCAATCATAGCGGCCATTCCGTGTTCGCAAGATTGTGCGTACCTACCGTCAGGTTCAGCTTCAGTTCGTCAATGAACATCAGAGACACGGAGAGTATATTATTGCATGATCATCATGATGCTTAGTCCGACGTGTACTAGAGAATAGTAGGGGAAATTAATATGTTTTGGGAGAAGAATCGTCGTAGTTAAACGCAGCCAGATCAGCAGCATTCAGCAGATGCGCGCAACTGACGAGTCCCGATAGAACGAAAGAGTCATCTAGCGTTTTTCTGGATGTGTGACTGAGACCAATTATTAAAAAAACCTAATAGCCTCCTACTACTCTCTAATGACACGCAATCGTGTTACGACAGCAGAACCCGAGAGAGTGGGCCGATCCACCCAACTAACGCACGGTCTGGGCGGCAGAAATAAGGTCGGTAGGTAAAAGAGATTCTATTGTTAACCGTGGTTCTAGAATCGCAGTTAATATAAAATAATAGACTTACGAATTGGTGAAGCGAGTCGCAAAGAGGGACAACAGTAAATCCACGAGCCATTCAAGCAACGAAATTTACAAGCACTTCACTAATGTGGCACATTAAACAAAGGTGATAAGGATGCGAAAATATAATAAATACGCAGAGGTAAATAGAAATAGTTAGCAAAAGAAAATAAATAAATACGAAATCTGTAAATTTGTAGCCAATATGAACTGTCAGTCTGAAACTGGACAAACCCATCAATAGTCTTTCGATTAAATTCATAGAATGAGTGAACTATTCATTAATTGTCAGCAAAGTACATTACGTGAATTAGAATTCACAAATCGCCTATCAGCTTGCATGCCATCTTGATCGCACTTTCCATCATTTTGTTTGGCTTTGCGAATGATATCGCACTGCAGTACCTTGAGTGGCTGCTGATGCCCACGTCGTTATACCTGTGAGATCGTTTCGATATTATTGTGTACTATGGATTAAGTAGGGTTTTTATTTGTTTATAATATTTAGCATTTGTGTGCGTGCCCCTATTACAGTATTTTGTCAGGTTTGAATATCACTAAACGTAAAACTTTCCATGTATTTTTGTTTTGCGTTGGTTATGTAGAAAGCATACTTGTATAGCTTCAGTAAAAACGTTATACAATGTGATAGATGCCCACTATGGTGCAACATACCCACTATACACGTTAGCTAGAGGTGGGAAACACCTCAGCTACTGTGCCGCAATACCTAAAAGAAAAACGGAATAAAATGCAACAGGCGCAAGTTAGCTGAGCTACCGGTAACGGACGGGCATCGTTCCGGTAGGCTACCTACCGGCTACTATGCAGCAGAAAAAAAAATAATTTACTGTGCAAAATTATAAAATGCTTAATAATGAGATCGTGCTTGAAGGGGGAGGCTAAGATGGATGGGGTGGGACAAAGGAACTCACAGCAGGAACACCACTGAGGTCGGCTCCTAGCCATATCAACAAGTGTATCCAGCCCAACGTGTTCATCGTCTTTCGGACCCAAACCAGGGAGCCATGACGCTCCAACTGAGGCCATCTTCGAAGTGAAGGCCTTCATTGTTATCGAGCAAGTCATCGCTTGGCCACCTCTCCTCTTCTTCCATCCACATCCCCGGCGCCCTAACAACGCTCGTCGCGAGAGTCGGTGGGCTGGCGTGCGTAACACAAGGCAGAGCCGTCTGAGCCTGGTGCGTGAAATAACGGTGCTGAGCGGTTCATTTCCCTTTACTGTGCCGTAAACAAGGCGTCGAACACGCTGGTTGTTCTTGCGATGTTCCCACCACATGTGCGCTAAATTGCGAAGGCTCCAGTGCTCGAACGTAAATAACCTCTTTATGTCCGCTGATCTAAAGGGCCAGGTTTCACAACCGTACAGTAGGGTCGAACGTACCGCTATATTGTACACCCTACCCTACGGGGTGAGAGTGATGTCGCGCTGGCGCCGGTTAGCAAAAGCGCCTCGGGCATTTGCTATACCGTTGGTGATCTCATCGTCAATCCCACGGGCGCTGATACAACTTCCCAGGTAGTTGAATTTTCGAACGACTTATAGCTGATCCCCACCAAGTATGAGCGAAGAAGGCTGCACAGTCCACCCTTGAAGGAACGTTTTGCACTTCGATAGTGCTAAGTGAAGCCCGAAGCAGCTGGCATCCAGTGCTAATCTGTCCAGTACCGCTTGGTACGTCTGGGAGCTGTCACAGATGAGGGCAATATCGTCAGCATAAGCCAAGTCAGGAAGTCGTTCTCCTAGGAGTAGATCCACACCTTCTAAGTGCTGTCCTGTAAACGCAATTTCCATGACTTCGTCAATGGCGAAGTTGAAGAGGAAAGGTGACAGCGGGCATCCTAATCTTACACCGCTGGAGATATTAAATGGCGACGACAGCTTGCAGTAAGCCCTCACTCTGTCTGGGCTACGCGCGTATAATGATCGGATATTATTTACATATTCCTCAGGTACACCACTCCTGAGTAGACAGTCCCAAAGTGCACGTCTATCCACCGAATCGAATGCACCTTTGATATCGAGGAACACGACAACGGTGGGCCGCCGATGTATGTGACGGTGCTCCAACAACTGACGCAAAATGATTATGTGGTCAATGCAGCCACGACCTCGACGAAACCTGGCTTGCTCTTCACGAATATGGCATTCATAAGTGGCAGTCCGTCTGTGAAGGGTGACAGAGGCAGGCAATTTGGAGGCGATGGATATTAGACTGATCCCTCTATGGTTTCCGCATCAAGACCGTGAGCTTCCCTTGAAAATTGGGACTATGACGAAACGGCTTCAGTCAGTTGGGACAGTTCCTACTCCCACAGTTTTAATAATAACTCGTATAAATCATCCACCAAAACAGGCCCACCGAATTTAAAGAGGGCTGGAGGAAGGCCATCTGGTCCTGCGGCTTTATTTAGTTTCAACAGTGCGACCTCATGTTCCATTTCTGAGCAAGAGAGTGGATCCAAATGGACAGCCCAGGGAGCGGGGCGGTCAGTGGCTAGCGAGAATCCTTACAATTCCGACCGATTAAATTGTCTTTCAAAGTATTCAGCCCAATGCTCCAAGCATTTTGACAAGTTGTGGATAGGCTGTCCACTCTCATCGCGTATAGTTTCACTAACACCGGTTCTTCTGCTGTCCGTTTCCAGTATTAGGCGGAATAACTTACGATGGTTACCAAGGGCAGCGGTCATTTCCATCTCTGGTGCACGAGGAGACCACCAGGATTCGCGGTCTCTCTTCAGACTAGCACGGAGTTTTGCCCGGAGCTCTTTGAGAGTTTCACTGTGTTCGCTTCCAGCCGGGATATACGGGCGAGCATCGAAAAGTTCCAGAGACCGCAAAGAGACCCAAAGTCCATGTTGGCGATTAGACTTACCACATGAGAATTTGCCTACAGCTAGTAAGGACTGGTGAATATGAGACCACTGAGCTTCAATTGCAGCAAGTGAGCGCCTACTCAACTCGCATGACAGCGTACTTTGGTAGGCATTCAGAACAGCTGGTTTCGCCAGTTGGCTGGTGTCAATGAGCCCACAACGTGGTCTTCGGCGTCCGCCAAAACGCATCTGCATGTCAACACATACAAGTGCGTGGTCGGTGTCCACACCTGTGCTCTAAATCGAGCGACAGTTCTGGACGCAGCCTCTCCATCGGTAACTTATCGCAATGTCATCTATTTGCTTCCATCGCTGGTTCGCGGCTGGTGGGCGTCAAGTCACCCTCTGGCGGGTGCTGTGTCGGAAATAAGTGCTCGCAAGAAATAAGCGAGCTTCTTCACACAAATGAAGTAACCGCTCACCGTTATCATTACGGGAGCCTACACCATGTTGGCCGCCCAACTGCAGTTCATCAATGGATACTTTTCCAACTTGAGCGTACAGATGTCCAGTCAGCTCAACCTTGTCCGAGCTTCTTCTGTGGCGAAGGAGCTGGTTCAGTTGGCGATATATGTCGTCCTTTACCGAATCATCTCTAGAGTTTGTGAGTGCATAGACAGCGATGACGAATAGACACCTGTTAGTCCCGTGCGACTTCGAAACTTTGAACGAGCCAACCAATCAGACCGCACACACCTGAATACTGATTAGATTCCAGTCAACCAGAGCAGCTTCAGCCCGGGGACTCAGGGCAATACCAACACCGGCTTGGCCGGTGCTCAAAGCTCCATCGTCACCGGATAGGCGCAATGAGAAAGTGCTGCTGATGTCACCTGAAGGGGATCGCAAAGTGAGCACAGAGCTTGAGTCTTGCAGGCGGGTCTCCGATAAGCAGCATATATCGATCGATAGGTCTATAATGTTCGGGCAAGTGTTGCCTGTTGACCGATCTGCATCAATGTGCGTACATTGTGGCATGTCAACCTGAAGGATGAGCGAGGGCTCCAA